AGGCGATGAATGATTACCCGACTCAACAGAACAAGGGTCGACGAGTGAGGCGATAGAGGCCCCATCTAACTGCGCTGCTTTGCAGGCTTGTATGGATATTTCAGATCACAAAATTTATTGCCGAAAGGTTTCTAACTCCCTGACCGATCACTAATGATTAGTCACTGGTGCCTAAGCAATAGAGACAACGCAGTTAGTTGCATGTTGTGATGCAGATCATGTTGTTATTCGTTGGCGACAAATTGATGACCCGATCATCGTACTTATATTTACCTCCCATAATATTCCATTTTATCCCCTTGGGGGTAACTACCCCCAGGTTGAGAACCACTACAGTAAAGAAATGGGCGATGTCCTGCTGACCGCGGTGATGTGGGCGTTCCCTTAATATGGACTTTATTGAAACAACTACGCAACAGTGCAAGACGGGTAAACATGCTAAGCCTTGATAAGTCCCATAGGATGATTTGGATGAAATATGAAATTTAAAGGAAAACGTTATCAGCGAGCTAAATCGCTCATCGGTGGACGGACAAATGTAAATCTGTCTGCTTCATGTTCATTGTGGCTGGTAAGTACAGTGCTCCCTTGCGTTTTATCGGTACGTCATGAATGTTACACATGGCTCATGATGTGAATGGTGCAGGACATCAATGAGTCGTTATTCTAAAATGCCTAACTTGGGTTCAAAAATTATATACTTTGGAAATCGTTCTATGGCTAGCCAATTCGAAGTACAAAAAAATTCGCATCATTCCAACCAGTTGCGTAGGGTGGCCATTTTCATCCGGTGACCACTTAGTTTGGTGTTATGGTTCAGTAGCAGGAGGACGTATGGAACGTGACTGGCATTTTCTAAATCTGGTAGGTCAGGAAGAACTCACTGTAACGGATTTGCGTAGACCTGGTCGCGTTAGCTTAAATAAGTTACGACGCAAACTGAGCACCTGGTCACACCCTGGTCACACACGTATTCGGATGAGACGCTGCGTCCTCGTAAACGCACAACGACACACACGCGACCGGGGAACTTAGACGCGCTAGGTTTACTCGAACACCGAACACACAACTGGAGCTGGGCACACGAGCGCGTGACCACTCGGTTCCCAACCGCCGAGAGAGAAGAGAAAACGAACCGGACATCTGGGAGCTCTTTTACAACCCCCTAAGGCGGAATTATCGCTGGAACAATGCTTCGTTTTGTATGTGAATTGATCACCACATAAGGCTGGTGGTTTACGAAAGAAAGTTGTCCACTTTAACCCAGTTGCGCTCCGACTCCGAGTGGCTAGATCCTGCTATGCTGTGGGAAGGAATTGAAATCTGCTTCTAGCAGCCCACGTGCTGGATTCTGTGGCACATTTTTGCGGGGATATTTGACGTGCCCGCAACACACACTGCAGGCGAGGATATTTTCAAACGTACAACACTGGAATTTTCAGCCACAGTTAATACGGCAGATGGAAACGTTCCCTACGTTTCATTTGCCCTTCTTTGTGGGAGCTCGAATGCGGCCGGATCACATTTCTGTCTGGTTTAATTGGCTTGATTTGGGTATTCCAAATGGGACCTCTTGGGCGCGCTGGTAATTTGCGAAAAGATGGAAGCATTAGATGGCCCCAACCCCGGTTTATCACACTTTCACATATACTTCGAGCAGCCGATACCATCTCAACTTCGTACCCCAGGGTCGTGAGCTTAATTGACAGTCTACAATATGGCATCGTCTATCGTGAACATGCCATATCGATGCCGTTTGTGTACTGTGCTCCGCAACCACAGGTGAATAGGTAAACGCGGTATGAGATGGCGCAGATGGTCTATTCGCTCCAGGTTCGCGGGGGACAGAAAATATCTTTGTCCAGTCAATTAGTTAGGTTTTAGCGGCACAACACGTCCTACGAATAATGTATATTATCGGTTTCGATGTCCTCATGGTCTGAAAAGCATTATTACATAGGAATCAGAGGAAGATTTTTTCTTGTACCCTCAGAAGTACTTCGCACCCACCACTCCAACCTGCCTGTGTGTAGCAATTAACCTGTGCGGGTAACCATATTCAGTGGTTTATTAGTCAAAAACTCCGATCTTTCCTTCAGGTCGCCGAAAGTGCGTATCCCTCTTTTACGGGCAAATAAACTTTTGACTAGAGATCTTTTGCAGCATATGGAAATGAAGCCGGTAAACTGTGAGCAGCACCCGAAGCAAGCCATTTTCTATCCACGCATCTCTCTGAGACAATTTTCAATGATTCTCTAAGTCCAAAGTTAACCAATAGTCGTTTTCTCGATCTTGCTGGTTGCGTCCAAAATATATTTTATATTTGCGGATCATTTTAAATTACTCGTTGTGCTTGGATTGCTAAGCGCAATTTCAATGTGAACCGTGATTCACCTTGAAGCGAATGTTGGCCAATTCGATCACTAGGATCGTAGCTGAAGCGTATACGGATTGGGTGTTGGCTAGTTAACAGTTAAAGTGCGCCTGTTGTGCAATGTATATCGGTCGAACGCGCAACAATTGCCTAAGCATGTAAATGATCACTGCCTACGTTGTTGGCATCGAAGTGGCGCAGGGGTTAATAGCAGCTCCGTTCGTGACCGTATCGTCGACAGTAGGCGTCAGATTGCTTCAGAATAATGCACAAGGTTCCTCGCGACGGTCGAAGCAAGCTGCATTAGATTGTTTCAAGTGTTCTTATGCTAGCAGAAGAAGCTAATCCAGACTCTTCAGCTTCCCTGGCCAAAGAAAATGGAGGAGCCTGAGATCAACTGTCTTAGGTCAAACTCCGTAGCACGCGGCTAACCCTCTAAGGCGTAGTTTTTCCTCTATGTTGTGACGCTGCCCTTCGCTTCTGCCTCTCTGCGCTGCCAACCAACCTGGGAAAACAAAACGCCGAGCCTGCTAGACCGAAGTAGTAGGCACAGAACATGGTTACTTCCATACGTCACAAGCGCTTACCTCGCCGCTATCACTTAGGTGACTCACTTCTCTTGTCTGAACAGATCCGACTCTGGTAGTGGCCTTCACTGTCTGACTGTAGGTAGGATCACGTCCATAACATAGCAACCCGTGCGGCGAGGACGGTCTGATTTAGTCAGCTTCCGGTTTGATCATGACAACGAGTCTGTCAGCCGCTCACGTGGTCTGGCCAATCTGGCTCCGCCGCCCTGAACCACAAGCCAGTCAGTAAACCAGTATCCAGGGCAAAACGCCTTGTGCCAAGCAGGAAAGCAAAGCATCGCAGTTGTCATGCGGGAAAAAACTGGACAGACAGGATGCGTCATTTCAGAATTGGTGACAGAGGGTACGCGCGAGAGCTCTGAGGACCGAAGAGGTGGTCGACAGCAAGGGTGATCCACAGAAACGGTGGAGTCAATTACGGGATCTTTTCCAGTTAAGCCCCATCACTAATGCAAAAAGAGCACGCGCAAAAGTTAAGCCCCGCCACTAAGGCAAAAAGGGTACACCTGAAAAGTCAAGCCCCACCAATAGTGCAAAAAGTGCACGCGTGAAAAGTTGAGCCCCGCCACTGTTTGCCAGCTCCAGTGTACGTAATGCATGTGAACGTGCCCCATAAAAACACTCCTTATCCGCTTCTAAGGTCATTTTTGTCCAAAAAGTTTCTACGTTCGCACGTAAAACCTGACATGAACTTTCTGACGCTTTCGGCGGTCGTTCATGACAAGGAAACAGCAATACGTTTTTTTGCAAAGCCATGGAGTGATTCATCATCAACATTTATGCAGTCGAGGACACCAAATGACACTTTCAACTGTTTCTGACAGCTGGAGGTGTGATGCCCGACAGTGTCGGCAAGAAATCGGTCTTCGAAAGGGAACTTGGCTGCAGCGGTCTAGGACGGATTTCAGGACAATAATCCTATTCATTTATTGCTGGTCCAAAAAGCTGACAACAATCAAATTCTGCTCAGAGGAGTTATCTATTGGCCACGCGACCGCTGTCGACTGGAAGAACTTTCTGCGTGAAATTTGCGCCTGGCAGCTTTTGCAGACTCCAACGATTGTCGACAGCCCAGGTCTGCATGTCGAGATAGATGAAACCCTAATATCACGTCGTAAAAACCATGCAGGGCGAGTCCTTCCCCAGCAGTGGATTTTCGGAGGGATTTGCCGGGAGACTAAAGAAGTGTTCTTGTATGCAGTGCCAGATCGAACTGCGGCCACTCTGCTGGACACAATCCAGGCCTGCATCGCTCCCGGCTCAATTATCATTTCCGATATGTGGGCATCATACCAAGGCATTGAATCGATGATTGGCATGAGTTATACTCATCAAACGGTTAATCATACCGAAAACTTTGTGGATCCAACGACTGGAGCTCACACACAAACTATCGAATCTCTCTGGCACATTCACAAGATGCAGAATAAGCGCCAATGCGGCACACACCGATCTTTAGTGGACAGCTACCAGTGTGAGTTCGTTTGGAGGCAGAGACACCGAAAAATGGACCTTTTCATGCAAATTATTAATGACTTGTCTCAATTTCACCCTCTTCAATAGAGAGTAAAAGTTCAAGTTCCATATCCTCCCTTTTCATAATCTTTTTTGGGTGGCGGGGCTCAACTTTTTGGTGGGGCTTAACTGGAAAAGATCCCAATTACGAACTAACGGTTGGAAACAAGTAATGGATCAGGCACGCAGATCAGCGGCGACACAACAGACTTTCTGCTAATGCGAACCATTGTAGTCAGCGGTTTCGCCTCTGTGACACTCTATGTTACTTGAATTAACTGGGTCGAGTTTACTTGTTTTTACCGCTATATATGATTGTAATGGTGTGATGATGAACCGTTGAAAGCAACTACTTGCCAAATGGTCTCGTGTTCTCGAAATATTTTAATTGGTCGACGTGGCCACCGACCGACGTAAGGTAGGAACAAGGGAACGTGTGAGTCCACCTGGCGCACAAGCGCTGCACACTCTCACTGGTGGTCGGTTGGGCTCACATGCAAACCCCGTAGTTCCTGTGACTTATGACGTACAGGACCTCACTCAGCGGTGATAAACGAGTCGGTTGTGATTTCGTGAGTGTTAGCTCTGTCGGAGGTGCGAGACATGAGGCCTCACCAGGAGCGTTGGACGGACATCTACCCAGTCGGAAGGTAAATGTTACCCCTTTCGCGGAAACGCTGCGGTCGGATTACAGACAACTGGCCGAACAGGTTGCAACCGGTTCCGACATGGGGATCGATGCGTGCACTCAGGCCAAGATGCGCCGGTATGGCATCTCGTCCAATGTCCGTACAATCGAGGCACATTTGACGATGGACTCCACTGAGTCCCTCATAGAAACTACGTCGTGTCAATTGAATCCATTGTCAGCATTATCAGAGTTGGTTGGAACGTCCTAAGGACTGGCAACCTAATTGTTCAATCAACTGAAAGCAAACTAGGATGTGCCGCACCCAGCTTACGTTACAGGCGTTGTGCAAAATAATGCAAAAGAGGTGAGATGTCCCAAGAAGAAGTTAGTTGTTACGTTTTATTTCTTTTAAAAAACAAGGCAACACAGCTTTTCAACAAGTAAAACGCGTGTACATTTGGCTAAGCCCTTATTGCGCCATCACCTCGTCGTATCGGCATTGCAAGCTGCCACACTGTTTGAGTGGAAACGCTTGAGAATTCGGTTCCAGTATAATCACATGTTTGGATTACGTGAGACAATACGGCCACGAGCAACATCTCTCACAGAATTTACAGATGAAAATACCATCTCATTAAGCCGGGTGTTAATAATGCCGCCATGTCGCAAGAGCTGAGCCTAAAACATACTCGTTGACCAGGCTCATGTATGCGATTTACGCGCTAGCGTAATTCCCTATACCTGAAAGTGATTATGCAATAAACTGCTCGTGCAGCCTAACGCGGTAAGTGAAGACTTTTATGAGAACTGCTGTATGCAATTTCCGGATGTATAACAAAGCTGTCCTTTTTCCTCTATGTCCTGCTTTAAGGGTTCGGAAGCTGAGTATGTGACAGCGACAATTGGAGAGGCGTGCGCAACGAATGGAAGTCACGTGTCGCTCGATTTAGCGAGCATTTGGGCACAACAGTTGTGAGTGTACATGTCGCAAACGATTGCGTGGGCTTAATCGAATCGGCCGGCGCATGCAAGGTAAAGTGGAGATCCCCTACGGGCACAAACACGTTTACTCCGGGATCTAACTAGGAAACCATCGACAACACAACAACCATAATGGTTGGTGTAGAACCAGCGGGGACGTTTTGGCTTACAAGGCACTCATGATGGAGAGGTCAATACAGCAATTAGACAAGCAAGTCAATGAGGCTGCGGTTCGTTCCACTATCGTGCAGCTTCCGCCGATTTTGATGTCGGTCTAACGAAATTGCATCGCTTGTGTATGAACTGTGCAGACTATGAAACAGCTGCGGTTTATTGTGTCTTTCACGTAGTCATTTACTTGTGGTAGCAATCATAAAGCGCGTAGTGCAGTGTAGCACACAAGATCAACGCGGATTGCCCTCTCCTGGTCATTATTTATAGGGTCACGTAGTCACCCAAGAGCCTTACACTTGACGGCAGTTATGAATTACATATTGGTAGCACGACTGAATTAACATCTGAGAATACAATTACCTTATACTGAGTCCATGGTTGCCGATAAGTGCGGTAATTGCATTAGTAAAATTAACAACCCGGAAACCCGACGGGGTGGCCGAGTGGTTAAGGCGATGGACTGCTAATCCATTGGGGTTTCCCCGCGTGGGTTCGAATCCCACCTCCGTCGCACTTTTCTGCTTTCCGAATCGACAGCCGGGTGTGGTGGGTGACTGAAGTAGCTCGGCGTGTTGGCCTTGACGCATCGAGAGGTGGCGTTTATCACTGACGCTTGTTAGTAGGGGTGAGGGTGGCATTGCTACTCTCTATCGAGTGCTCCCCACGCTGGTGCATAGTACTGCACGGCATTTCGACGTGCAAATTGGCATTGGTTTCCAGTGTGGAACATGGTGATGGGATGAGCACACCGAACCAACGATTGGTGCTGGGATCGCGTGCACGTCATGGCAACTAGCTCTCGCGTCACATTATCAGACGAAGTTGTCAAGTTCAAATTAGTTAGCGTTGCTCCCTCAGCTGGTCGTTGGACCAGAAGTTGACGGTGCTGAAATGTGGATGAACCTAAAACAAAACCCGCATCACATCGTCGTCAAACAAGTACTGCTCAGGCATCCTGCTGCTTCCCAGGCTTTCACACTAAGTATCCGTTTACCACATACATATATTGCAGCAAAAAGGCCGCTCCCCAATAATAGCTTGTGTGACTTCTCCATTCCGCTAATGCCACGAATGCCGAGAACACCACAAACATAACTGCTGTTAAAACTTCGAAGGAGCGGTGAATAAACCCCCTTCAAGCAGCCTTCATTCAAGTGTTGCCAACGTGTAAGGCTGATGAATGAACGACAACTAGATCCACCTGCTGAGTGACAACAGCTCCTGTTCATAGAACAGAACACTTGGCCCGATTTATGGGCATCATTCATAAGGCCGACCATTCCTCAAGCCTATCCAACGCACTGAATTGCCTCAGAACTTTCAAGAACATCCACAATGTTCCAGAGCTTAAGGTCGTCATCAAACATTGGTGAAGACACCCGGCAAGTCATTTACATAGATCGTGAACAGCAATGGCCCTAGTATCGAGCCCTGCGGAACGCCACTAAGAAAAGCTTGACTAAGCGAAAACTTACCACCCAAATTTAGTGGGAGTCCTAGATGAGGGACAGTGTCAAAAGCACTCGAAAAGCCTAGGACAACACGGTTATAGTGTGGCCACTGTCTACCGCTTCAGCCCAGCTTCCACGAGCCACAAGTGGATTGATCTGACACGAAGATCCCTTATAGAATCCGTGCTGCGCGTGGCTGAGAATGTTAAATTTGTTCAGGTGGTTCTACACCAAGTTTCTTACTAGCTTTTCAAACAACTTGACTATCACTATTATCAAACTGACAGGTGACAAATGATCGTCTCCTTCCATTATGAAGGTAAGACGAATCTGTCAATCGATTTGAAAACACGTATGTGAGAAGACCACTTAGTTCAGCGGCTAGTACATGCAACAGCTTCGGATGAATTGAATCAGGGCCAGAAGCTTAAGAGGCGTGTTTGAATTGCAATAGCTCGAAGACCTGAGTCACCGCTATGCTGAGTTCAGCCAAACAAGTATTCTCTGGAATTCTTGAAACCAATTTCACCTGTGGTAAAAGGTCTCACAAGGGAAGCACCCAGTATACTCTTCGCTAATTATACAAGCCTTGTCATAGCCAGTGTGCGCAAGAGTCCCGTCTGCTCGTAATAGGGCTGGCATGGTCAGATTCGCACCGCTGCGCCTCTTTACGCTAGCAAAGAACTTCTTGGGATTGGCTGCGGCCAACTTAACTAAGACCTGTTCATATTGGATACTAGCAGTCCTGAGATGTTGCTTACATCTATTTCTAACCTCCCGATAATTGTCGCAGGTACTAGCTGATGGAGCTATTTGCTAGGTTCGCTAGCATCTAGACCGTTTCTTGAGCAGGTATTTGCCTGTGGAATCTATCCACGGAGGCCTTGTCCGTAACACTCTTTTCCTCATGACTGCAATGTAGGGGGCAGAAACTTCCTTATCCCAGACTAACTGGACAGAGTAGGACACCGAGAGCTCACAGTTCAGAATTGGAGTCTTAGCTAGCACGGCACTATAGTCAGCTCGCAAATATACATAAATAATTCAACTGCCGTCTGTTGGTGTCTTGAAAGAGAACACTTAAAGGATATGCATATTCGATCACTGGTACTAGAGGTGTACCAGCCGAGACTTCACTCACGAAGTCAAAGGAGTTGGTGAAAATGATCTAAGGTAGATGGCACTTGAGTGTCCATATACCTAGTGGGAAATTTCACCAACTGAAATAACGGCACTTGAGGGATCAACTCAAGAAAGTCTGCACCGAATGTTCATGACACCGAATTATACCAAACATTAGTCCAACAGACGTCAGGGAGGTTGAATTCCCGTAGAACTAGACATGAACGCAAACTGAGTGCGAATAAGGTCAACAATATCTCTGGAGTTGCTTCCAGGACTCCTGTATACTAAAACAACTGTAAACTGGACAAAGGAAGTGCACACAACAGCCGCTAGAGCTTTAATAATTTGATCCAACGACTGAAATGTGCAAGTCCTCAAAATCTCTGTTACGACTCAAATACAGTACTACTCCTCTGCCGTGACGACCAACCACCAAGCAGTGCGTAATCAGGTTGATATATTTTACCGACCGTGATATCCGGTGACAACCTTGTTTCAGTGAAATCGAGTATGTCGAGAGTAAATCTGCCTACAAGCAGACCCACTTTGTGTTGCTTGTTCCTTAGGCTGCGCGCATTGCTGAGTACTACTTGAAGGAACTCCGTGCGACCAGTCCAGGGTCTTGCACCACCAGGATGGGTTCGGGTAGAGCGGAAATGGACATAACACCTGGTACCAGCTCACGAGTATATCCCGAAGACTCATCTACACAGCTAAGCTTCCGTCATACAGTTTGTAACACGAGATGCTACTGAAGCTGTAAACATATTTCTTCTGGAATTCATGGACTACACGCTTTCATGACCTGACGTAATACTCGAATGTCTTACCAGGCCAGTTCGATAAGCACATTTCACCTCGCAATTCTCCGAAGTCCGTTTGCCCAGAACAGTAGGACTATTGGTGCTTATACGGTTGAACGTAGGTATATTCTAACGGCTGATAGTACATCGCCACCAACTATTTTTGATTGGTCTCCTCATTGCGATTGTTGTGCAAATTATCGCTAGAAAGTGTCAGGTTTTTATTTTTAATCTTTACTACTGTCAATCTAAAAGTAGTTACAGATATCAGATACGGTGTACTGCTGAGGGGTAAAACATAGTGGACCGTCAATCCTGTTACTGCCTACAGGTGTCCCAAATTCCAACGCAGTTTAGTCCACTTCGGTTCTGAGTGGCAGTATTGCAGTGAGCACCTAGGAGATGGAATCCAGGAAACCAAGCACTCTTCGCCAATTGCACCGTGTTACTCATGCAACCCAGGATTTCCCCCTCTGGTTTTTCCCCTCTTATTGAGCTTTCCCAAACGTGTGGAGCACCAGCAGTTGCACTTCAAGATAACCGCTGCGATGGTTGAACTGAAAGCAACGACCATTTTATGGTATCTGCGGATTACTCTCTTTATGCGACTAAGTAAGGAGAGAACCGTAGCACTCCACAACCGCCCCCGTTCACAATCATGCCTAAAAGTATGAGTGCATTAAGTTGGCGTCACATTTATACAAAGCATTCGGTCTGTGCCAGGTTGGTTCTGA